TTTATAAAATCAATAATTTTAATAATAAAAAATAAAAATATTTTAAAAAATACACTTATTTGTTTTTAAACATATCCTTATTAGTCATTTAATGTTAAACAACAACTGCTAACTATTGTATAACCAAACAGTTATATTTATCGAATCTGATATTTACTATCTGCTATCCACTTTTCGCTATCCGCCATCCGCTATCTGCTAACTGCCACCTGCGACTCGCTACCACTATCCGCTATCCGTTATCCGTTAACTGCTATCCACTGAATTTTAACCGATGTACCAAACAGGCCCTAAGTTTACTTCCAATTTCAAGCTCATCATTTTCAATCAAATGAGCAATATGAGAAGTATAAATAAATTTCAATTCATGATTGCGCTTAGAAGAAGCTACAACAACATTGACAATGTATGTCAAGTTTGAAAAAAAAAATGATACATGGGAATGACCTTCTTTGATTATGCAACTAAAGTTATTGCAAACAATGAGCTAAGCAGTGAATGTAGTAAGTATAAGGACATCGTTTGCTAATCAAAGCTTGAAGTTCATTAAACTCACATCTCATATTACTTGCACCATCATATCCTTGACCATGAATGTTTGAATGTCAAGATCATAATAAGAAAGCAAAGAAACAATAGCATCTTTCAAAGTTTTAGCTAATGTATTTGTCACATGAACACCAAAAAAGCACTTTCTAAAAATCCTTTCTTATCAACAAATCTTAGAACCAAGAACATTTGCTCCCTCTTTGACTGATCTCTTGCTTCATCAACAATAATATAAAACTTAACATCATCTATTTCTTGGCGAATACTTTCTCTCACTTTATCCGCCAAAACTTGTAAAATCTCCTTTTAAGTTTCCGGTGAAGTATACAAACCATTTTGAGTAGCATTCTTCATGACAAGGTTAACATTTTCATTATAAAATGATACTAACTTCAACAATTTAATAAAATTCCTACGATTGCTTGAGTTGCTACTTTCATCATGACCTCTAAAAGCACAACCTTAAGTTGCAAGCTATTTCACTACATCAGTTGAAGCTTGAAGTAGTAGACAATTGTCTAAAACTTGTTATGTAGTCTTCTTATGAAGCAAATGTTTAATATGTTGAGATTGCTTCATCAAGTCTTCACAAGCTCTCTTATTGATTTTATGAGAAGAGTTTGGATCATTTCCCACATGGTTTAAGAAAGCACATCTCTTCCTATCTCTTACTTTCTTCCATTTTGAAAATCCCCCCACAATGAATGCATCATGTCCACAACCACCACCTCTAGAGTTTCCTCCCGAGTCGTTAAAAAGAAAACAATAAGACAAAAAGCTACATCTTTCTTAGGAGAATATTCCAACCATGATGAAAACATTTTAATTGTAAACCACAATGGCATAAAGTGGCGCTGATGGCCTATTGGTCCAAGTTTTTTATACTCACTCCATTTTGGTTGATATGCATCGACAATTAGATAAGCTCTTTGAATCCGATCTTACTCTTCCAAGGAATATTCATATATTTGCTTTTGCTTTCTTGGGTCATGCTCAATAAGAATACCATCTACATTGACTTTCAAATCTTCTTCTTGTGTAGGCTACTCTTTAGAGATGACTTCTGTTTATATAGGCTCTTGTTGAAATTCCTCAACTATTTTTTTTTTTTTTATGCCCCTTCATTTTCCTTTGGATCTTCTTCTCTTTCTCTTAAAAAAAGACTCAATTGTTCCTTTCTTTCTCATTAATACAATCGATCCTAATAAAAAGCAAAGTAAAAAAATAAATTAAACTAACATAATGAACAAAAATGGAAAACTTTATTCAAAAAAATTTTTCAAATTTGAAATTAAACTAACATAATAAACAAAAAAATGATCATAATCTTAAATGTTACAATTCTAATCCACTAGCCATTTTCTTATTCATCTCAATCTCAAATTTAAATAGGAAATCTAAAATTTGAAACTCATATGGAGGTACTAATTGACAACTTAAAACCTTTAAGCACTTAATTAGCTATTAATATTCCTAATATGGTATATCAGTATGTAGTGGCAGAGCACTTAATTCTCTAAGTTATTAGTTATCTCTAGTGGAAGAGATTTTCTACCTCCATAGGTGAGGTTAGCAAATATGAAATATGACAACATCCTATCTCTTCACTTTATCACTTTCTACAATCAAACAACTTTTTTTTTTTTTTTCATTTTTTACAAGGTAACTACGCTTTATATTAATTTATCTTCCTATTGCTTATCTCTATATCCAAGGTTTTTCTTTTACTGGGTTCATATACATTCCCTTTATGGATCTATAATTTTTTTAAAATTTATTTTACTCCAATTCTATTTTATATAATTTCAATATTATCAAAATATTCAATTTTGTTTATAATCTCAAGAACTTTAAATTCTAAAAGGAAATTATACATTTTTTTGTAATAATAAAAAATCAATAAGTTTCATTACTTAAATATTACTTCTTCTATACTAGAATAATAGATTTTTTGTTTTATCTTTAGATTAAGTATTTGGAAAAAAAAATTATCTTTATCTATTTTATACTTTTAAAAAAAAAGTAACAATAAATATCTACTTCAATAAGAAGATAAATAATTAAAATTAAGAGATAATCATAGTGGTAAAGTAGAAAAAAAAAACTATTTTTCTTTCTCAAAAAAAAAAAAAAAACTATTATTCTGAGACAAATTCTAAATAAAAAAACATCTATGATTTTGAGAT